GGAGGCACTGCCATCTCCCACTGTCCTCAAAGTCCTGTGCAGGCAGCAGGCCAGGCATGGCACAGTCCCTCCTCAACTCACCAGCAGACGCTGTGCCTCCTCTGGCGACTGTACAGTCACACCTGTTGGCTCTGCCGACTCCTGACCTTTGATTTCCTGCTCAGAGACCTGGGTGGGCTGCAAGAATCTGGTACTCAGGCTCTCGTTGCGGGCATTGTCCTCCGTCCCAGGAACTCGTGAAGGACGTGAACGCCGGAAAAAGACCTTGGGAAGGCAAACAGCCCACTCCAGTCCACACCCAGGGCTCAGATTCAAGGTCCCCAGTTGGCAGCTGGACCTGCCATCCCCAATCCCTCCCAATGAGGTCACCCCAGGCAGCTGAGGCTCAGCACATCCAGCATCCACTGCGGAGGTGGGTCAGGTGGGCACCCCATCCCCACGGGGTCAGCTGTGGAGTGATGGTGTCACCCAGGCTGCAGGAAGGACGGGGCTGCAGCACGGCCCGCCAGTCTGTGTGCTGCTCAAAATGGCCATGTGTCCCCCACAGTCAGCCCAGATACCCCAGGCCACGTCAGAGAGTCAGGGCAGCTACGAGGACAAGGAATTGTGTCCACCCGGGCTCGCCAGTGGACGGGAAGCAGTTCCTGAACCCATGAAGCCCCCAAGTTTCTGGAGAAACCAACTTACTCTGTGCACACGTTCGGGGTCCCCTCCACCACCTGGAAGAGAAGGAGTCTCCTTAGCAGGCAGGGAGGGGCCCACACAGCACCCCCCTCCCAGAGGACAGCGGGGCACAGGGGTAGGCTGGGGGCAGGGACACTGGACAAGGAGCCCTGGGGCTGGGAACAGGAATAGGGCCTTACAATTCGGGGACACCCTGAGGAAGGGGGATGAGAAGGGGAACTAGAGTAAAAACCAACACGTGGAAAATCTCTATGTTCTGCTCTGACCAAGGCTGAATAAATCCCAGAACCACTTCTCATCCTGACCCTTGTCACCCAGTTGAGGAGCCGACTGCCCCCTGCCTGGCTGGGCCTGAAAGTGGGAGGAACTGGCCCTGCCCTCCTACACTTGGCTGGGAGATGAGGGGACCCCCAGCCCCGAGAGAGGCAATGAGACCAGGGTCCTGGGGGATACACGGGATGTGGGGATGGGGCGATCACAAGGCGGAAGATCGAGCCAGGCTGGAGACACTTGGACCAGGGGCAGGGATGGGGATTACTGTCTGTGGGAACAGAGTGGGAGGGGGCAGGGCAGACAGTGTCCAGCGCCCCCACCCTCAGCCAGCACCTACCTGAGCAGATGCCTTTCAGTGAAGAAATGAGTTTCTTCCGACGTAAAATGCAAACAAACGCAGCCACGAACAGAATGATGAAGACTGTAACGACGCCGGCTATGAGACCGTAAAGGTCAGGAGTCCCCAGGCTGGTGGGCACTGTGTCTTCCGCCGCGGGGGTTTTCCCAGTGGAACTGGCAGCTGATGCACTGCAGTTGATGTCACTCCAGGGCGTACAATCACTGATCTTGATCATCCCTCTGGGACACCTGGGTACACACAGGGATGGAGACGGGGACTCCTGATGGAAAGCTGGCCAGGTGAGATGAAAGAGGAGCCACCCTCCCTGCC